CTTGGATAAGAAACTTTCTCACAAATTGAAGACAAAGAGTAATGATAAATGGTAATTACTCTGATTGGGTATCAGTAAAAAGTGGAGTTCCCCAAGGTTCTGTTCTCTCAGCTCTATTATTCATTATATACGTTAACGATATTCCCAATATAATTACTTCAAATGCAGCACTTTTTGCTGACGATACAAAAATATTTTACCCTATTACTAATTTGCATTCACACACCGTACTTCAAAATGATATTGATATCTTGGTTGACTGGGCAACTAAATGGGGGATGAAATTTAATATAGAAAAATGTTCAGTTTTACACCTAGGTCATAAAAATAAACATCTTGTCTATTCTATGTACGATCCAGTGAAGAAAACAAGGATTGATATCAAATCTACCAACTCAGAAACTGACCTCGGAGTACATATCGATAATAACTTGCTATTTTCTAAACATACCTCTACTCAAGTTAATAGGGCAATGCAGATGCTATTTCTAATAAAAAGATCTTTTTCTTATCTAAATTCATTTTGTTTTAAAAGACTGTTTTCAGCACTAGTACGACCATATTTAGAATATTGTGGTTCTGTATATAACCCTCGTCTACTGAAAGACAAACGACAAGTTGAAAATATACTCAGAAGAGCATCTAAATCAGTTCATGGATTAAAAAGTCTAACATATCACCAAAGACTATTGAAACTTAATATGACAACCATAAGATACAGACTAATCCGGGCTGATTTAATAAACGTCTATAAATGGCTAAACAACTACTACAACTGTCAAACGATCTTTCCAAAAACAATTATAAATTCTATTACAAGAGGACATTCATTTAAACTAGAAAAACCTTATTCTCGTCTAGCTTCTCGTCAATACTTTTTCACCTTACGAGTAATCAACAAATGGAACTCCCTCCCAGATGACGTTGTAAATGCTACTTCCGTAAGCAATTTTAAAAACAAACTCGACAATTATCTAAAAGAAGAAAAAACAATTTATGACTAGTATATTTATATAGTAATCATAAGACAGGTTGACAGGCATTTCATGCCTATACAAATCCAATTTGTAAACCTTAATAATAATAATAATAATAATAATAATATCATCTTTATTTATTATTTTTTGACCTACAGAACTTTTTGAATATCAGAATTACAGAATTACAGAATTTCAGAATTACAGAATGTTTGAATTTCATCAAATAACTTATTTTCTCATGTAGCAAATTTACAATTAAAATTTTTTTATAAATTACTTACAGATTACTAATTTTATAAGTAAAATAGGATATATAATATGGTATACAATATTAGAGGTTTCATACTGCCAAATATTTGGTAATAACACCAGAATATCATTAAAGATTAAAAATCTTAAAATGACATTTTGAACTAAGACACTCACTTTCTTGAAACAAATCATTGTATGTTTTCCTTTCAGCCTTTTTAACTATAGTAGTTCCTCTGTAAAAACCACTGATGTTATCATTTTTTTTATTTTTAGAGTTAAAGAATAAAAACTCTGAGAATGTTGTTCCCTTTTCTCAAATCCAAATGAATTTTTTTGCATTAAAAGCAGTTGATAATCAAGTAGAATTAAAAACTTAATTTAGTTTCTTCAGCAATCAAGTTTACTCAACAATTAAGTTATTTAATAAAGTAAAATAACCACACCATAAAAACTTTATTAATCATATCTACTTGATTAAGTAGAAATACAAACACAACCTAGTTTCAACGAAGGCATACAACTTTAAACTAAAAATACTCCAATATATTTTCAAATTATATTCTACAAGAAAACGATACAAACACTTGGTTGATTTAAAGATATGTTAATTTATATAATTTTTACTTAAATAAATCAATTTGCCTAATCAAAAGTCACGACATTATTTGCGTAAACATACTTACTCTATTAGATATTGCCGTGATGTACGTTTAAAAAACGGTTTTTTATTACGTTAAAAAAACGTTTTAAAAACGTTCAAAAACTATCTGAGAAAATATATATATAAAAAAAAACGCCTAAAAAACGCTAAAAAAACGTTTAAATTAATATTAAAAAAAAGTTTACAAAAAAATGTTTTAAAAACGATTGTATTGATTCTTTTAACGTCTGACCGTGAATTGAACAGAATTAAAACGTGTTAAAAACGTTCTGTGCTTACTGGGAAGAGTGGTCCTAAAATTGAGCCCTGAGGAACCCCGCAAGTTATGGAATATGGAATTGTGTTATTTTGATCATAATATAAAAATTGCTTTCGGTTTGTCAGATACCCTTTGAACCAGAGTAAGTTTTTATTTTTCACTCCGTAGTTTTCAAGTTTTTTTATTAGAATATTGTGATTTACGGTATCAAAAGCTTTTGATAGATCAATGAAAACTCCTAATGTAAAACAGCTATTATCAAAGGCGTTAGATATTTGATTAGAAAGTTCAACTATTGCATGTTCAGTGGAATTTTTTTTTTTTTTAAACCAAATTGCTTGCAATGCAACATGTCGTTCTCAGCTAGATAATTATATAACCTATTATACATTATTCCCTTTATCAGTTTTGAAAAGCAAGGTAGTATGGATATAGGCCTGTAGTTTAAGATATTTGACTTATCTCCAGATTTAAAAATTGGTGTTACACGGGCAATTTTTAGTTTGTCAGGAACAATACCTATTTTAAATGAAAGATCAAAAACATGAAATAAAGAAGGTTCAATAATATCAAATACTGATTTGATAATATCAATACTAGTTTTATCAAAACCTTCACTTTTTTTACTTTTGAGACTGCTAAATGCAGCTCTCAGCTTGCTAAGTTTTTAAACTAGTTTTGTCCATAAGTTTGTCATAAGTTTTTAAGTATGAATCAAAAGGATTGGAGTTAGATGGAATTTTAGCAGCCAATTTTGGATCAATATTAACAAAGCAGTTGTTTAGTTCTTCAGCTATATTAGATTTATCATAAACTAATTTTCCATTAATTAAAAGACTTTTTGGCAGAGTGTTTTTTTTGTAATTATTTTTTCCAATTAAAACCTTAATTACATTCCATATTTTTTAGTGTTTCCGTTGGGTTTTTTAATAACTGAGCATAAAAAGCTTTTTTGAGTATCTTTTTATTTTATGAATTTATGAATTCATGTTCATTTATGAATTTAAATGATAGATGCATATATTATTTAATAAATTCATTGTAGTAATGAGACAAAAAAGTAATTCTTTTTATTGCTATACGCTTTTATTAAATTGAAACTTATCAAACTTTCGATAAAAATACTAGTTTTTATCGAAAGTTTGACACATGATTTTAATTAGTAATTAAAAACAGAGGCGTTCCGAGGGGGAGGGTGTAGGGGGTATCTAGCCCCCTTACTAAATTTACTAGTCAACTTACTGAAGACTGTAGTCGGCAAAAGTAGATCTATAGTTGGTAGTCGGCAAATGTCTGCTAAAGAGGACCTTTTTTTTTTATATATAAGATCTTAGCAAAAACAAATGCGTCGACCCCCTCTTCTTTAAAATCTCTTCGGGACGGCAAAAACAGAAAAGTTTTAATAACAAATTAAAATCATGTGTCAATAAAAAAAACAAAAAACACAAATAGCATTTATTGATCAAAGAAACTAACTTTAAATTTTTTTTTATGTTAACCAAATGATAACATGGTTTTCGTTTAAAATTGTTATTATTTTCTCAAAATAATATGCTTGAGCATGCATATATAAAATAGAAACCACAAAGTAATAGATATCACAACCAGATTTTAAAAAACGTCATAATGATTACTATGCAATATTTATTTAAACGTAATAATGACTATAAATTATTCCTTACAGAATCATAGTAAGATTTACTAATAATAAATTTTCGACCTACGTAGTTATTACAGCAATTATAAAGTCACTTTTAAATTTATTATATAAGAATTAAACTGTTGAATTTGTTCTATCAAAAAAATACAAATTAAATCAATGTCCTTCAGAAGTTTAAACTGATTTAAACAAGTGTTTGTTTTTTTTAGTTTAAACTAAAGAGAAAACTGTCTTTTAGATTTAAAGAGAAAACTGTCTGTTGAAATTGAGAAATGTCATTTATAGCGATTTAGAAAGATTTTTGGCACTGATTTTGAAGCCACCCCTCTAATATATGTAAAACAGGCATAATAATTTTCATATATTAGTACATTTGTCTATCCGTTTACGTATTTATTACACTGTTTTGCAAATAATTAATTAAAAAAAAAAAATTAATGTAAATTAGTGAAAGCTTTTCAACGTACGTTTAAGATTTTTCACTAAATGATTTTTTTTGTTTAATATTTGTGCACCTACGCACAAAGGTCATTCGTGTTGTTTCCTATCACTTAAAAAACATATAACGGAATTTAAAAGACTTAAGAAAATATATTTAACTAAATAATAATAGAATAAAATAAAATAGTGATAGCAATAATAATAATAATAATAATAATAATAATAATAATAATAATAATAATAATAATAATAATAATAATAACAATAATAATAGCAATAATAACAATAATAATAATAATAATAATAATAATAATAAACAAATAAAAAAAAAACGTGTATAATTAATAAAAAGTCTTAGTGAAGAACAGAAAATGACAGAGCGAGCGATCCTATATGAGCTGTTTATATTTAAAAAGCCAACCATTTTATAGCTTTAACTTTTTAAAGTTTCATGCCATTAAGTAAACCTAAGTCTATTGTAGATATATAATTGAGTATTGAATCAAATAACCTCAGGTCAAAACTTGGATTATATATAATATAACTAAATGTATTTTTAATGAATTTATATGGAAAAAATATTGATAAAAGATGATTGATATCAGGAAAAAAAAGGAACTTGTTTATATTATATTACCATTTCGGATGAGCGTTTTTTCGGGTTTAATTCTCCGCCTTACTATTTTTGTATTGTTTGTATGTTAATGTTTACGGAAGAATACTTAAAGATTTATTTCCAATAAACTGAGACCCATTCATTGGACTTACGGAATTTTAATTAAAATTCCTTTAATCAAGAAAATTTTAAAATTTAAAATTTAAAATTTTTGTTAATGTTACCGTTCTTTTTAACATTCTAACCTCTGTGTAATTTCGAAAAAAGAAGGAATGATGGTTTCTCTAAAAATGTTAATATGGTTTTGGAAAATTTTTTATATATTTTGTGGGTCAGATTTTCACAGTAACAAAATTATTTCTAAAATTACTTTTGGCAGTTGCAAGTTAGTAAAAAAATTTTTCTCAGGAGTTGTTTTATAATAAGATAAACATCCTTATAAGATTCGCTACGATTTTGTTTTCTTGTTTAAAAATAAGCATTTATTTTTATATATTTAGAATTATTTTTACATGTATCTTATAGTAAACACGATCACGATCAACCATTGTGGAAAAAAGTAAGAGAACAAACTCCAGATTTATGGATATGGTTAGGAGATGGTATGCATTTTTTTTTAGTTTAAAAGTTCAAAAGTTGCATAAAACTTTCTAGTCCTTAGTTATTTGTTTAGTTCAAAAAATAGTTTTATTTATCATTCATTGCTTCATTTTTATAAGAGTGGCTAAAAAATTTTGTAAACAAATCTACAAAAAACTGAATAAACCATGGAATGTTAAACAAAATTAGTAAATTATTCGAGTAAGTATTCACAGTAAATTATTCAGAATTTGGTCTACTTTTTGTGTGGTGATACCAAGCATTTTTATAAACACAGAGTTGAAACTATGTTTTTTTTTTTTTTTTTTTTTTTTTTTTTATCTAATTTAATTCATAAAAGTAAATAAAAAACAAAGTAACTATGATGAATAAAAAGTAGTATGAATTGTGCATTTTTTTCTCTTCTCAAGTCTTTGCAAATGCATAATCAATGCAAAAGGAAATTAGTGACTGACATTTTGATTTTAACTAGGGCTGGGGCAGGGTTTGTAAATTAAAGGTGAGACTAGGATTAGAGCTTAGGTTGAATTAATGTTGAAAAGCAGTTTTTTTTCTTTATTAGAGGTGGGGTAGTGTGCTTCATGTCTAATATATTTATTAGGATAAAACTTTCTTCAAAATATTACAATTGATTATTATTATTTTTTTTTTTTGCAGAAAAATAAATAAAATATAAAAAATACTATTTTACAAACTATTGTATTTTTACAATCTTACATCCCGTTTTTTTAAATAACTACTTCTATCAGGGGAAGATCAAGCATTTTTTGGATTTGCTTTATGTATGCAAGCCAACTTCCACATATAAAGCAAATTCCAATCATTTTTATATTTACACATATGTCTATAAACTGCAAACATTTATATGTTTATAAAAAAAAATGTGTAGCCCTCTCAAGTTGTGGTATTCAAACTTTACATGATCATACTTTTTGAATGCTAAAAGATTATTGTATGAAATTAAAAATTTATCAATGAATATTTATTTAGTTAAGAATAGTAAAAATCAACTTGTTGCCCTCATTTTTGGGGTAAGATGTCACAAATTTCAGGGTTTTTTTGTTCCAAGGCTCCAAGCATTGCAATATTATGCAAAGCATTCTTATTTGACATAACCATAAACATATAAATGTCTCAAACACAAAAAAATGCTGGATCCACTCCTGGCTACTACTACTTTGACATTGCAATTTTTAAATGTAATCAGAAGCTTATTAAAAATGAAAAATTTTTACACTGGATGAATTATAAATGTTTTTAAAGTTTTAAAACACAAAAGATTTTTTCCATAAACTTTTTCTAAATTTTGTACTTTTTTTCTCTACTTAAAATCTGACTTAGTAAGTTTTAAAAAAAGTAGGTTTTGGTAAGTAATAAAAAACTTAAGCGTTAAAGTTAAAGTTTTGTTACAAAAACTCTTCAAAAAATAAGATTAAATTTAAAATAAGATTGACCTAATGAAGTGTGGTACCATAACTCTGGCATACAAAATTTTGGAGAAAAGCAGGCTATTTGGTATGTTTCAAAATTTGAAAAATTTTGAAATATACCAAATAGCCTTTTTTTTTTCTTACATGTTTGAGCATACTGCTTCAAACATGTGAAATTTTGATCAAGTTAGTTTCTATGGTGATAAGAATTGTTAATTTTTGTAGATGGATGCCAAATATTTTGTTTGTTACTGGAAATAACAATAAATCTAATTAAAAAGTAGGATATTTTGTTAATAATGATGAAGATATTCTACAGCATATATAATATCATTTTTATAGTTCAAAACCTGTCCATATAATGGTATTAATATAGTCATTTTAATGACAAACCACTTCTGGTGGCCATGGAAGAGGACCAGAGCTGGACAACTCGAATTCTGGCTGTAAAGTTACTATTCAACCATTGAATCACCAAAAATCTCACAAAGTCAAATGTATCAATATTTTCGACAATTGGCTGCAATGGGTTGCACAAGATTCTATAGAAATCTCCATTTCTATAGAATCTTGTCACTGAGGATAAATCATGGCTTCTCATCATTAACTACAAAAGAAAAAAGATTTCCCTTTATCTAGGAGTTCAACCAAAAAGAATAACTTGAAGCTTGAACTGTAAAATAGCAATGCAGTGTGTTTGGTCGGACAAAAGCAGGATCATCTTTTTAAAGTTTAAATTTTTTTAGTGTCAGGTCAGGAGTATGGTTGATCATCCTGCTACTGGTAACATGTAACCCAGTGCAACCTGTTCCATGTTCTGCTGCCTTGCAGGATTTGCTATCTAAGCAAAAGCTGGATGGAGTGTTCTTCCTGTCATTTTTTTCCATATAGTTGGAGGTGCCTTAGTTACTGTATTAGCTCACCTGTAATGTATGTTTGTGTTCTGTCTGAACCTCTGGCGCGGTGTTCGCTCACCCGTTAGTTACTTTATGTTCTTTATGTATGTCTGTGTTCTGTCTGAACCTCTGGCGCAGTGTTCGCTCACCCGTAAGTTACTTTATGTTCTTTATGTATGTCTGTGTTCTGTCTGAACCTCTGGCGCGGTGTTCGCTCACCCGTAAGTTACTTTATGTTTATGTTTATGTTTTTTATGTTTTTTTATGTATGTTTGTGTTCTGTCTGAACCTCTGGCGCGGTGTTCGCTCACCCGTAAGTTACTTTATGTTTTTTATGTATGTTTGTGTTCTGTCTGAACCTCTGGCGCGGTGTTGACTCACCCGTAAGTTGATTTATGTTTGTTTGTGTTCTGTTTATACTTTAATGCAGCGTGAGCTCAGTAACTAACTACTTACTCCAACTACAAAACCTACACTCACCTTAGACTCCTGTATTTTGTTAGATGCAGTGTTTTTCCTAATGCACTTCCAAAATGTCATGCCTGGTTTTCTCAAAGTACTGTTGCGGGAAGTAACTCCTTTTAACTACTCCAGGTCAGGTCAGGATAATCGAGATCAATCTTGCTACTGGTATCACGTAACCCAGTACCACCTGCCACAAGCCCTGCTGCCTTGCAGAGTGTGCTCTTCTTATGCAAAGGCTAGGAGAAATAAACTCTGACTAAAAATTCCCCTGCCTTGGGGCTCTTGGTTGAGTAAAGGCTAGAGATGGTGTCTCGATAAAAATACTCATCTTGGGCAGATGTTAACTGCATCCTTCTACTGTCTTGTAGAAGGCCTCCTCGGCAAAGACTTTAGGGGTAAGCAGAAAAATTCTGCTAACCAGCCTCGAACCCCTTCTTCATCTATTAGGCTGGCATGGGTGTAACCTGTGTTACATTGTTTCCTGTCTAGGATGACGAATGCTGGATCTCCTTGACTCTACTCATAGAATTTTGCTTATGCCTCCTTGATAATGGCTATGCAACTCTTCCTGTTATCTCCATATGAGGGTACAGCTCTAAAACTCAGTTTAATGGTTCTGAGGCCGGCTGGTAGTAAGGTTTCCCGAACTCTGTGGTAGCTCTCAGAGAGACTGATTCCATCAACAGCTGCAAAATATCAGAGTATTAACAGTGTTATGTTGCGCATGGATGGTGTCCCTGTTAATGCTTTTGGTGTGCATTGTCAAGACCACATAAGAAGCCCTATGTCACGACTTAGGGTTAATTAACAGGACTGAGACAACTGCATAGCTCATTGATTAGGAGGCTGTGCTCTATCTATGAATGAGTCTAGTTCTCATTAAACCCAAATCATGACCAAAGTAACCAAAAATTTAAAACCTAAAAAACCATCCCCACCACCTAAACATTTTAATATATCTTTTACAAATATTTGCGGTCTACGAAGCAACTTTCCATCAGTTGAGTCTTACCTCCTGCAAAATTCACCAGACTTGCTTGCACTCAGTGAAACAAATTTAAGTTCTGCAATTCCTTCTTCAGATGTCAGTGTTGATGGGTACTATCCTTTGATTTGTAAAAACTCCAATAGTCACATGCTAGGTTTAGGGGTATACATACGCATTAATTCCCCTATTTGTCGTGAAATCAGGTTCGAATCCTTTGACCATTCTTTTATGTGCTTTCGCCTAGCACCTCTTCACTCTTTCACCTTTCTCTTTGTTCTTTATCGTTCTCCTTCTTCCCATGATTGCACTCTTTTAGATGTTATCTCTGATCAAATTGACCATGCTCTCTCTCTTTACCCCTCTGCCAATATTGTTGTTGTTGGTGATTTTAATGCCCATCACACTGAATGGCTTGGCTCTAACACCACTGATCCTGCTGGCACTAAAGCCTTTAACTTCTGCGTTTCTCAATCTCTTACTCAGATAGTTAACTTTGTGACTCGTTTTCCTGACAACCCTAATCATTTACCTTCACTCCTTGACTTATGTCTTGTCTCTGACCCTAGCTTATGTTCAGTTTCTCCCTTTTCTCCCTTAGGTGGTTCTGACCATGCAATGATCTCTATAAATATTTCTTCTCGTACTTCTTTTTTGGGCTCACCTTATCATTGCACCACCTACTACTACCTAAAGCTGACTGGGATTCTTTTCGTAATTTTCTTCGTGATGGTCCTTGGGCTGATGTCTTTTCTCTCTCAGCTGACAAATGCGCCTCCTACGTAACCTCCTGGATTCAGGCTGGAATGGAAGCTTTTATTCCTTCTCGTCAGTTTCAAGTCAAGCCTCATTTTACTCCATGGTTTTCTCCTTCTTGTGCAGCTGCTATATCCAATCGTAATCATTTTTTTCATCTTTTTCAAAAGAACAACTCTCTTGAGAACAAACGGCTATTTATTATTGCAAGAAATCAATGTAAAAAGGTGCTTTCTGATGCTAAACTCCATTATTCTCAGTTCACTAAATCTCGCATCTTATCACAGAAGTTAGGCTCTAAAGACTTTTGGAAAATCTTCAAAAGCATTATTAACAAGGGTAGATCTAACATTCCATCTCTCATTCATGGGACTGATCTTATTACCTCTCCCAAGAATAAGGCAGAACTATTTGCAAAGAACTTTTCTTCTAATTCCACTCTTGAATCTTATGGACATTCTCTTCCTTCCATTCCAGTCAAACAGGTTGACCCATTGTTAGACATTCAAATCACTCCGGCTTCTGTTGCTAAAGTCATATCTCAATTAAACTCGTCTACAGCTTGTGGTCCAGACAACATTCCTGTCACAGTCTTGCAGAATTGTTCTCCAGAACTTTCTTCAATTCTCTCTAAACTATTTAACAAGTGTTTGACTGAGTCTTGTTATCCTGCTTGTTGGAAAATGGCATCTGTGGTTCCAATATTCAAAAACTCTGGAGAAAATTCTGACCCCTCCAATTATTGTCCGATCAGTCTTCTTTCTGTTCTTAGCAAGGTCTTTGAGTCTTTGATCAACAAATTCCTCACATCTCATCTTGAGTCAAATAAACTGCTGTCAGACAATCAATACAGTTTTCGATCCTCTCGCTCTACGGCCGACTTGCTAACTGCTGTAACTGAAAGATTTTAGCTTGCATTAGATGGAGGCGGTGAGGCTAGGGCTATTGCTCTCGACATATCTAAAGCTTTCAACAAAGTTTGGCATGCTGATCTTCTCCACAAGCTTGCTTCATATGGTGTTTCTGGGAAAGTTTTTAGATTATCAAATCATTTCTTTCTAACCGGTTTATTAAAGTCATCCTTGAAGGCCAACACTCTTCTTTATTTCCAGTAACTTCTGGGGTTCCCCAAGGTTCCATCCTGGGCCCTGTTTTGTTTCTTATCTACATAAACGATCTTCCTGTCAACCTTTCAACTAAAGTAGCTCTTTTTGCTGATGACTCAACTTTATACTCCTGTCTTGACAAAAAGTCTTCTCTTTTCGATCGCCTAGAACAAGCAGCTGATCTTGAATCTGATCTCACTTCAGTAATAGATTGGGGTTCACAGTGGCTTGTGAATTTCAATTCTAAAAAAACCCAATTGCTTACTGCAAACAACTACCGTAATATGGTCAACATTCCTATATTAATGAATGGCAATCCTCTTACTGAGTCCTCTTCTTTACGTCTTCTTGGATTATCGCTTACTACTGACCTTTCATTGAAACCATATATACAATCGATTGCTAAATTAGCTTCTGGTAAGGTTCCTTTCTTTATCGTGCTCGCCATTTCCTTACTTCTGATTCCATTCTCTACCTCTACAAATCTCTTATTCGTCCTTGTATGGAATACTGTTGTCATATTTGGGCTGGTTCTTCTAAGGATTCACTTTCTCTTCTTGACAAGGTCCAAAAACGCATTGTAAATGTTGTTGGACCTGGACTATCTGCTAAGCTTGAACCTTTTTTCCATTGTCGTAAAGTTGCATCTCTTTCTCTTTTCAGCAGATACTATCATGGTCACTGCTCAAAGGAGTTATCATCTCTAGTTCCATCAACTAAAATTCATTCTCGTTTTACTCGTCATTCAGCTAAGTCTCATCTGTTTACTGTATCTGTCCCTGCATGCTCTAAAAACTTTTATTCATCTAGTTTTTTTCCCCGCACTTCAATCCTTTGGAACTCTCTCCCATCTTCATGTTTTCCTGACTCATACAACCTTCAACTTTTCAAGTCTTCTGTCAACAGTTTCCTTGCTCTATAACTCTGTTCTTTTTTTTTTCCTAGTAACTCCCAACTTAATAGTGGTTGCTTGCAGCTTTGTTGGGAGTGAATGCAAATAAAAGAAAAAAAAAAAAAAAACAGAGTTTGTTATTGACAGAATGACAATGATGAGCATTAACAGTGGCAAATTCCAGATAAATACATTCAACCTCAATCATTTAATTCTTTAATAAATTCTTTAAAAAAGCTACAATTTTATATATATTAATGTATTTTTTTAAATTACATTTCTTTTAACTATTTGCTTTTTGATTGTGAAAGTTAGATTTTTGAAACTTTTTTTTCTCTAGAACTTTTGATGTTTAAGAGCATCATTCTAAAAAAAAAATTTTTTTGAATTTTTTTATTTTTTATTTTTTAAACATGTTTATTAATTTACTAGCTGTTTATGCTGATACACGAATATTACCTTTTTTATGGGTTCATTCATCCCTGGAATCAATGAAAGAAAAGTTTAATTTGCAAAAAGAAAATCCTAATTATAAAGTAAGTTTTTTGTTATATGTTAAAAATACTATTTGCTCCTTAATTCAATGATGTTGTAACATTTTTTAGATACATAGATGTTGTAATTTTTTTTTTCTCAGTGAGTCTTTTAATTAGCTTTTAACAGAAAAAAAAACGTTTAGTTTGTTAGTAATCTTGCTAACAAATGGAGATGAGATGGAGAGTGCATTCTATCCACAACAAAAAAAATTTCAAAGCTCTTTTGATACCTGTGACACATGCAGACAAAAAAAAAACAGTTCTATAGAATATTATATATATAGGAAATATTCAAAGTTTTATTATTTTTTGTGATATTTATTGTTAAATGAATTTTTCTTGTGATTCCAAGGTGTCTCTTTTTAATGAGTATATATTATATAAGTAATGAAGCATCTGAAGATAAGTTTAGGGTTATTTAAATTTGTCAAAAATGATTATTTATGTATGGACAAATACTTCCTACTTCATAGCCAAATTTGATTTACTATAATTTTTTTCTCTTGCTAAGCTATTCACTCCTTTAGTTAACTCAAATTCATAACTGTCAAATTATCTGATATCGCATATAAAAATTTGATGTATTCATAAATTATCTGATATCGGATATTAAAGTTTAAACTTTGATGTATTCATAAATAACAGTTGTTTACAAAGAAATGGCAAAAATGACAAAACAAATAGTTCTAGTGTATTAGATTTAGAGAATTCACTGATATACATTATTAAATTGATAAAACAAAATTTTCATTTTAATTTAGATATTATTTAATCCTTGAGAACTTTTGAATAATAAAATAACTTCTCAAATTAATATAAAGTTCACCCTCAAAAGGAGCTTTATATTAATGATAAAAAGTTTTACTTTGTACTATATTTTACTGTCAAAAGGCTTAAATACTAATAAAAAATTTTATTTAAACATGTCTTCTGCTTCTTACAATTAATTTTTAAAAGTTATCTAGAAATTTTTATTTGTTTTCGGTAAACTTCTTTACAATATTTTTTTAAACTTTGTCAGGGTTATACTTCTTATTGTCAGGATTTATTTTTAATAAACATTAAGAAGCTTGGCTGCTATGAGCACAAACAAGTTGAGTGCAGTATGAATTATTTTAGGATTTTGAAAAAATGTTTTGAATAAAATTTAAAATTTTTAAAATTTAAAATTTTAAGTTTTAAAAATCTTTAAATAACATACTTTAGAAATATTTAAATAACACATTTCTCAATATTTTAGTTACTGTCAGATGATGGTATTCCTATTATCGGTACATGGGATGATCATGATTATGGTTTAGATGGTGTTGGCAAGGTATTTATTATCATTTATATAATTTTCTGAGTAGAATTTTTAAAATCAAAAATTTGTTTATCAAAATTTCTGTGTAATTTCTTGAATGTAAAATTGAGTTTCAAAGTTAATAAGTACTTGCTCAAATGTTGAGTTTAAACAAGATCTTATGAGCTTTGACAAATTTTACAAAAGTAGTTGTAGTTCATTTTTTTTTTTTAAATATAAAACAACATATAAATAATTATTTTTTTAAAATAAAATATTTAACTACAAGCTACTATGTAGATAAAGAATTTTATAGAGCTTTATTAAAAGGGTTATTATAGGATAATCCGAAAGGTATATTCTTGGCTTTTTTAATTTTGTTAATGTGATTTGTATATACTATACAGAAATATAAACATTTGTTGGAAATTTTAATAGGTTCAATATTTTTTAAGTAGCTTGGTTAGTAGCCAATTATAGTTTAAATTAGTCGTTTAGTAGTTTAGTTAGTAGCTAATCAAAATTCAGGTTAGCAGCCAATTGTAGTTTAGATTATTGAATAGTTTATATATAACTTTATATACACCTTGTTTATATATAAATGTTATATATAAGTTTAAGATTTTACAATAATGTGTGGGAAATATATTTAATATGTTTTTTCAATAAAATGTGTGGAAAATAATTTCTTTTTCAATAAAATAATGTGTGGGAAATTTATTTGGCTTCATGAGATTATAGTTTAAAGTTAGAAAGATTAAGATAGAGTTGAAGCTTGTTTTCCTGCATGCTGAAAAATGGCATTTGGTGGTGGTGGTGTAAAATTTGGTGGTGGTGGTGTAGAGTTTTTAAAAACTCTAAAGATTATTCTGACCCCTCTAACTATCATCGGATCAGTCGTCTTCCTGTTTAGCTTTACTAGCAAAGTTGATCAACAAATTTATAACATCTATTCTTGCATTCAATTACTTACTTTCAGACAATCAATATGGTTTTCCATCTTCTCACTCTATAGCTGACATGCTAACTAGGTTCTGTCCTTGGTCCTGTTTTGTTTCTTGTCTACATAAGTTATTTTCCTAATGTCATTACATCTAAAATGGCTCTATTTGCTGACAAATCAACTTTATACTCCTGTCTTGACAAAAAGTCTTCACTTTTGGATTGTTTAAAACAGGCAGCTGATCTTGAATTTGATCTCACTTCTGTAACAGATTGGGGCTTGCAGTTGCTTGTGAATTTTAACTCTAACAAAACTCAGTTATTTGCAAATAATTATTGCAATTCTGTCAACATTTTTATATTGATGAATAACAACCCTCTCACCGAGTCTACTTCTTTATGTCCTCTTATCATTCACTAATAACCTCTCATGGAAACCATATATACAATTGGTTCCTAAATCAGCATCTACTAACTTAGCAATCATTACTTCTCTTTATCGTGCTCGCCATTATCCTACACCTGATTCTATTCTACAACTGATTCTACTCTACCTCTACAATTCTTTCCTTTATTCTTTCCTTTATGGAATACTTTTATCATATTTGGTCAGATTATTCTAATGATGCTCTTTCTCTTCTTGACAAGGTCTTAAATTGCATTGATTAATGAAAATGTTGTTGGAGCCACTCTATTTGCCAAGTTCAGTCACTATCCCATTGCCTGAGAGTTGCCTTTTTTTCTCTTTTCTTTAAATACTATCATGGTTGCTTCTCAATGCACCTATCATCTCTAGTTTCATCAATCAACCCATTTTTGCTTAACACATCATTCACCTATCTCATCTTTTTACTGTATCTGTCCCTGTATGCTCTAAAAACTTTTATTAGTCTAGTTTTTTTCCTACACTTCAACCATTTGGAACCCTGTCCCATCTTCATATTTTTCTGACTCATACGACCTACAAATTTTCAGGTCTTCTGTTAACCATATCCTTGCTCTTTTACTCTATTTTTTGTATTTTAGTAACTCCCAACTTAATAGTAATTGCTTGCAACCTTGTTGGGAGTGAATCAGAACAAAATTAGAAAAGAATAAATTAAATTTCAGAATACTTTTGAACAATAAAGTATTTCGAATAGAATAGTTTATTTTGCTTTTATAAAAATCTTTGCTTTGATGGTTTTTAGTTTAAAAGGTTTATTTGGTTACAGCATATGCTTTAACAAAAACATTGCTGCTTCAAACTTATGCAAGTAAATATCTTTGATTATATAACCAATCAAGTAAGAAATAATGGAATGAAAACAAATAAAAATTTAAAACTTATAGTATTAGTTATCTACTTAATTTTTTGAGAGAAAACATACACCAAAACCTGATTAGTTTCAAAAGTAGTGAGAATTTAAAAATTTGAAGAACTTGCTCTATGATATAAAGAAGGCAAAGAGTTGTGATAATGTGTGTCCATGGCTTGAGATTTTTAGTGGTGAGCCTCAAGGCTCTGTGCTTGGTCTTTTGTTATTCTTGATATTCGTAAATGATCTACCATTAATTATTAATTAATGGTAGATCATTTACGAATATCAATTGCAAATTATATGCAGATGACAGTAAACTAATCAAAGTTATAAAAAATGTTGAAGATTATGAGTTTTTGCAGAATGACATCAATGAATTTGTAAAATGGACGGATATCTGGTTGAACATTGAAAAGTGCAAGGTAATGCATTTAGGTAAAAAGAATCCACAAATGAGTTATTGTATGACCCACGACGGCAAAGAGCACAAATTAAAAACAACAGTAAGTGAAAGAGATTTAGGAGTGATTATTTCATCTGACCTTAAATGGCATGATTGTGACTTCAGCGACAGCAAAAGCGCAAAGAACTTTGGGTCTAATTAAATGTATGTTTACATACTTTGATGTGGAAATGGTGAAATCACTATATACGACATTTGTGAGACCGCTTCTTGAGTTCGCTATACGTGCATGGTAGCCTTATTTACAATGGGATATTGATGAGTTAGAGAAAGTGCAAAGAAGAGCAAATAAGTTAGTTCCACGACTGGGTTTAACAACATTGGAGAAAAGACGAGCTAGAGGAGATCTTACACAACAATACAGATTCAAGCAAAATATAGACCAAATGAATTGATACAAAAATCCAAAACCAGCATCATCCATGACTAGTTCAGGCCCAGCTTTTTCTGTAAGGGTCAATAAATACAGGTTAGAAAGAGAATACATACCATCATGTTTACCGAGATATAATTTCTTCACAAATCGAGTTTGTAAAAATTGGAATTTGTTACCAAATGAAATCATTGAAGCAAGATCGTTGAATGTTTTTAAAGCGAGAATAGATAAACATTTTTCTTGTGTTTTTTTTTTAATTGTGTAGGCTGTCTTTAACCCGATGCTTGCATTGCGTTCCACAATTTATTTTATTTTTTAAATATTTATATTTAAACAAATTTGTAATTGTTACAGCAATAAATATTACTATTACTATTTATATGATTATGAGAAATCTTTGCACATTTTGATGGAAATTGTGTTCTTGTGTGATTTTGATGGAAATTTTTTTTTTGTGTGTGATAGGAACACAAGAACTAGTTTAAGCAACATTTAAGATTTTTTTGTTAAATTACTTTAAATAATATTTAGGCATTTAAGTATCGTTTCCAATCACAGAATTTGTTCCTGGATTTTCTCGACGTGCCTATAAACAGTGCTCTTAGAACAAGAAAAGGGTTGTACTCATCACATACATATGGGACTGGTGATCAAATAGTAAAGGTTATAGAAATTCCAGTATGATTTTTATTAAATTGTTTATGTAATATAATTACAAGTAAAAAATGTTTTTATTTTGCGCTCAGGTAATTTTACTGGATGTAAGAAGTCATCACACTAAAGGTTGGGATTGTGAAGTGTTAGGGGAAGAACAATGGGTCTGGCTTGAAAACCAGTTAAATGACAACACTTCAAGAGTTATTTTTATAGGGTCAGGAAAGCAGGTAAAATTATTTTATTCTGAAAATATGTTTTGTTTTCTGATTTAAAAGTTTTTAAATTTTTAGTAATAATTTGATATTTTGATTTATAACAATGTTTAAAATTGTCTTTCAATTTTTATAAGTTTGTTTAAATTGCAGGATAAAGGGTGTTTTATGAAAGAGCTTCTATTTATTGTCTCAACAACCAAAAATTAATATGTGTATATATATATATATATATATATATATATATATATATATATATATTTTACAAAAATGTGTATATATATATATATATATATATATATATATATATATATTTTACAAAAATGCTGTATGAATTTATACAATATATATATATATATATATATATATATATATATATATATATATATATATATATATATATATATATATATATATATATATATATATATATATTGTATAAATTCATACAGCATTTTTGTAAAATTGGTATTTTAGGTGTGGCCTTTAAAAAAAAAAGTCATTGCATTCTGACATTTAAAAAAGTAGATAAATTTGACATTTTTTAGATACAAATAAATTTCAATCAAAATAATTTTTTTTGCTTGGTATTTTTCATAGCAGGAATATTTTTCTAAAAATGTGTCATTATAATTATTCAACTTGTTTCATTCTCAGCAATCTTCTCAAGTTTTCATTTTTAAATCGCTTCTCTTCTTTGTTTTAAATAGTAGAGAAAAAACAAGAACAAAAGACAATTATTTTTTTAATGCAGTTTTATCAAATTTATTTATTGAAACTTTGATCTACTTTAATTGCGTACATTACTTTTAAACACAGTTTTAAAAGCTTTAAATGGTTTTTTAAACATTGTCTTCTTTAATTTTTATTTTTAAATTTTTTTATTTTTATTTTAAATGTAAAAAAAAAGTGCTAAATAGTAGTTAATTACAAAACATTTTTGACGATTTCTACTTTTCAAATAGCTAAAACAACTTTTTAATTGACGACTGTCAATAAAAAGTTTTTATTAAAACACTATACATTATATGTAACATTGCCAAATGCTTAGCTTTTACAGAGGAGAACACAGTAAAAAAATATATATTTATAGGTTTGGCGCTGCATTCTCCTCCCTAAATGCTGATATATGGCAACCCTTATTATATGGAAAGTTTTTAAATATTTACGTTTTTATTAAGTTAAATACTTTAGTATTTTAAAAATAAAAATTTTAAAATACTTTAATAAAATTTTTAAATTTTTTACATAGATATTAGTATTTTTGTTCATCTAATTTTATATTATAGTTTTTATCATTAAATAAATTTAAAAATAAAAAACTTATTTAAATAAATAGCTCTTAAATTATAAAGTTTTCGAAAGCACAATAACTTTTAATTGAGAAACTTGGACAGGCTTGGTCGGGAAGCAGGAGTGATCGCTCTTGACTACTTACCACGGAAATAATATTTAGTTGCAAAAAATTGGCCAGGTTTTTTAATCGTTTTGAGAACATTCAAGTTTATGTAATTTCAGCAATTGCTTACTTGTTTTGCTTATCTTTATAGCATACTGCTTTTACAGAAAAATAACAACAAAATAACAACAAAAAATAGTGAAAGAAAAGATTGCTACCAAACCCCAAACCCTCAGTCGATGTAGCGGCACTGTTTTGCAGCAGCAGGCTATAAGATAGTTGGTGTATGTACTAATGCTCCCGGCAGCAGACTATTTCAATATGACATCAGACATGTAATCTAAACACACATTTATAGTTGTTATTATTTTTTTTTTTTTTGTTACTATTCATTAAACATTATTAAAAACGTTATTCCTTTTTTCTATTTTTTGTTTTCGACACTATTCATTAAATTCATTTGTGACACTATTCCTTTTTTTTGTTTTTGACACTGTTCATTAAACTCCTTTACTAAATTAAAGTAGCATGTTGCAACAAAAATTCTTTTAACACATATTTGATAAGTCAACCAAGTTTCGAAAACTTTCTAATTTAAGATTTGACAAGTCAACCAAGTTTCAAGCTTTCGAAAACTTTCTAATTTAAGATTTAAATTTTTAGTATAGGTCATTAAATGAAAATATATATTTAAAGACAAAAATTAATTGTTTTTTTTAATTTACAAATATAAAAAATTTACGTAAATTTTGTATTAAAAAAATTATTTTTTGTATTTATAGGTGTTGGTTAATAATTAATAATATTAATACAGTTTTTAATTATCTTCTTTTATGTTTTACACAAATATAACATAAATGATACATTTCATTGCAAGTTTCATTTTTGATTTTTTTTGTTGTTGTTGTTATTTTCGGTTTATTTTACTAGCTAATTTATTTTACTGAAAGTATTATTAATTCTTTTAATAAAAAAACATAAACTTATTTTAAAGTATAATATTTATTAATATGCAAAAATCTTTGTAACATTCCTAACTTAAGATAAACAGTAAAATGTGAATAAAGAGTTTTTGAATAATATGAATAAATTAAAAAAATATTTTATGAAACATATTAAAAAGTCTTAACTAGTGAATAACTGGTGTCAATTAAAAATTAAAAAAAAAAAATGCTTTTTTTAACTTTTGAATGTTTTGCTTGTTAATGACAATACTTTTTTATAAGTTAAAAAAATGGATCATTTTAATTCATTTCATCGTCGTGCCTACTAATTGCGTTTTTTACTTGTCTAGTGAGACACTTTAAAACTGACACTGATTTAATTTTTTTTTTTTTACCATGAACTTATGAAACTTTAGGAATTTCAAACTATTTGGAAATGTTATGTGGTGCCATCAGGCTGGCTAACACCTTGTGTATATATATATATATATATATATATATATATATATATATATATATATATATATATATATATATATACACAAATAATAAGCTATTTGACATAAGTTGCTTAAATAAGACAATAAATAGTAAGCTATTTGACAGGTTGCTAAGTTGAGCATGTTAACAGGATATTTTTATTTGCAGCCAAAATATAATATTTATATTTATTTTTGCAGATTATCATAATTAAGTTTTTCTTCTTAAAGAATAAAAATAAATAGTTCATTTAAGAAAAAAAATTTATACCAAATATTGTGATATTTTCAACACACCTAATCATCTCATCTTAGGAAACCAGTTTTTAAAATGAGCTTTTTTTTAACGGAATTCAAAATAACCAAAAAAATAATCATAAAATTAAAAAAAAAAATTGTATTCTAAGGACTATACTAAATTAAAAAATTATTATCTCAACCATAAAAAAAAAAAACAATAATAAATCTTTCCTATCTCTAAAAACATACTTTTCTTAATAAAAAGCCGCATCTCATCTTGAGCATCTCAAAACATATCATTTTAAGCAACTTTCCCAAATACTATCATTATTTAAATAATATGACAACAGCTTATGTATTATTTCGTATAACCCATGGAATGAGTAGTAGATAAGCATAAAATATTTAGGGTATAATAAACTTTTGATGATGTTGTTTTATTCTGACCTAATTACAAAATATTGATTAATAAAAAATTATAATGGGATGGTAAATTTTTTTAACAATAAAACAATGAAAAGATATTAACTATACAACCAAGAAACTAAAATAAATAACACCGTCAATAACACTGTTGAATAACACCGCCAAATTTGTATGAATATACTTAATCAAAAAAATTCCCAAAAAAATTAGTAGTCTATCCGTAAACGAAGTTATACCATCTTAGGAACCTGCTCATCTTATGCAACCTTCCCCTATTATTTTCAATTGTAGTAAAACAATTTAATGTAGTTTATAATTATAAAAATGTTTTATAAAAATAAATATAGTATTAGTAAAATATAATAATTATATAAATATTAATAAAATAAAGTTGTCACTACTACAGAATAATTATTACCATTACAATAAATAGTGTTAACTATTTAGCTAACAAAAATATATATAATTAATAAAGAGAAAATAGATATAATAAATAAAAAAAATCAAAAGAAAATAGTAATAATAAGAAATAGATAAATAATAATTGATAAGTAATACAATAAAGAATTATTATTATTCTTAAAATAAATACTCAAATTTGTATTAATGTGTTAGTTGAATAATTATATTGTAAATGTACATTATTTTGAATTATTTTTAGGTACTCTCTGATATACCCTTTATTGATAAATGTACATTATTTTGAATTATTTTTAGGTACTCTCTGATATACCCTTTATTGATAAATGTACATTATTTTGAATTATTTTTAGGTACTCTCTGATATACCCTTTATTGATAAATGTACATTATTTTGAATTATTTTTAGGTACTCTCTGATATACCCTTTATTGATAAATGTACATTATTTTGAATTATTTTTAGGTACTCTCTGATATAGGGTAAACTGGGGTAAAGTGAACTGTTTTTGATATTTAAAGGAAATATTTTCAAAATAAAAGCCAAAACATTTTGCAGTTTTCAAAATTTATACCATTTAAAGTATTAGGTACAATATAAAACAAAATACTAAGATTAAAAGCTACTTTTACAATATTAAATATATATTCAAAAAAAACATGTCCACTAGTTCACTTTACCCCCACATTGGGGTAAAGTGAACTACTTCATCTTTAACTCTTTTGTGTTTGTTATTTCTAATAAATTAGTTTTTTTATTTTATATTTTGCCTTGCTGCTTGATCTTTCTTTTAAAGCATTCGTTTTCTTCATCATTTAATCTTTTAAATGCATCTTCTGATGTAAGACACTCACCTCCATAGTGTCTTTTTATTTTTTTTGTAGGTCGTTTGTTGTATGAACGACCATCACCCTTTGTGGCCATTAACTGTTCTTTCACTATTTCTCTAATGATTTTATTTCCAGTAGAACAATCTACATTTGATATTGATAGTTGATTTATTTTTTCATTGTTTAAGTCTTTTCCTACTGATATTATAGTTTTTTGTGAATTGTATTTATTTGTTGATTCAATAGAAAAATTTTCACAAGTATCGTTCTGATCATTGACATTGGTGTCTAAAACGATGTTTTGAGGGACGTTATTATTATAGTTATTTGTTTTCTGAGAAAAAGGGTGTTCATAGATTTCAGAAGGATTTAACTTGTCAGATGCTATAGCAGATGGATCAAAGGGAAAAATTCCAGTTTTGGCAAAGGATTGTACTAAATGAGCTGGCTTAAAGGAGGTATCTTAAAGTTTTTTTAATAAAGATGGAAAAACAGATTTCCCAACCACCTTCAGCCTTGACTCGGTATACCAATTGGCCAGAATTTCACGCCATACATGTTTAACTTGGCGAAAGACTCCTACATCAAGTGGCTGAAGCAAATGCGAACAGTGTGCTGGCAAACACAAAATAGTTATATGATTTTCAACTGCTTTTTTAACAGTTTCTAAAGAAATATGACTAATGTGACTATCAAAGATAAGCAAAACAGGCTTGGGTGTGTCTTTCAACCATAAAACAAGATGGTTAAAGTATTCAGTGAAAACTTCTGTTTCCATCCAACCGTTTTTTGTCACCCCATATAAGGAACCATTTGGTCCACCAGTCATCCACTCTTTATACAAATTCTTCCCAGCAAATAAAATAAATGGAGGAAAATTTCTTCCTGCAGCTGATATTGTTGCTAGTACAGTAAACTGTTCTTTTCCTGATCCAGGAGCAATAGATACAGGGTTTTTAATACCTCTTTTGCAAATAATTTTTTTATTTATTGGGTTAGTGCAAAACCCACTTTCATCGCAGTTTAGTATTTGGGCAGGTCTATTCATAATGTCACATTTTTCCAATGTTGCTTTAAGTAATAAAAACCAAGCATCAATTACAGTTTTATTACAAGCTAAGGCTCTTGTTAATGTCAAAAGCTCTGGAGTTCTTATAGATATTTCTTTCTGCCAACGATTTAAAAAATTACAAAACCACTGATCACCAGCAACACCATTAACAAATTTTTTCTGAAATCCGTTTAATTCAATATACGTTTGAACAAGTTTCATAAATTGTTTTTTATCTAATCCAAATCCAAAATCAGAAAATGCAGATAAAAGTGAAACAAGATCTTTTTCAGCATCAGCAGATAATCGGTTTGGTCGCCCTTCACCAACTTTTGAGCATTTTATGCCTAGAAGATGTCTTGCAATTGTACTTCTTGGAACACCATATTCTTTTGATGCAGCATACGAAGTCATTTCTTTATTTTTAACTTTCGAAATGGCATTTTGCAACAAATTAGGTGCATATGTTTTTCTTCGAGATTCTTTTTTCTTAATGTAGTTTCTTGGCATTATTTCAATATATTATATTTCTGAAAATAATTTTAAGAATATTTAAAAAAAAAACAACTTATTTTAAGAGTAAACAATTTAGTTAAGTAATTACAATTTATATATTCAGTTCTACTAAAAATATTTGATGAAAAAACATAAGAAAAAGACTAGTTCACTTTACCCCCAATAGGCAGAAAAATAAGGGGTAAAGTGAACTAAATTGATTTACAAACTAAAAGCTTAGCTTTTTTATATTATGATAAAAACTACAATTTTTTTTTAACAGCATTATATTATCTTTAAAATGTATATAAATTATATAACTGATGTTCGCATTAATAACAACAAATCATGAATTTACTAAAACCCATAGCAAAGTTTGAGATCGTAATTTTAAAACTTCCGCCAAACTCGCTTTTTAAAATGGCTATTACATCAAAACAAAGGCTATATTTTATTAATTTTTTTATTTAAAAAATTTCAAAATGTTGTATTAAGCAAAAATAATGCTAAATTACTTAACAAAAAGTTTTTTAAACATGATAACTTTTTAGTTTAAAAAAATAGTTCACTTTACCCCTAGTTCACTTTACCCCAGTTTACCCTACCCTTTATTGATAAATGTACATTATTTTGAATTATTTTTAGGTACTCTCTGATATACCCTTTATTGATAAATGTACATTATTTTGAATTATTTTTAGGTACTCTCTGATATACCCTTTATTGATAAATGTACATTATTTTAAATTATTTTTAGGTACTCTCTGATATACCCTTTATTGATAAATGTACATTATTTTGAATTATTTTTAGGTACTCTCTGATATACCCTTTATTGATAAATGTACATTATTTTGAATTATTTTTAGGTACTCTCTGATATACCCTTTATTGATAAATGTACATTATTTTGAATTATTTTTAGGTACTCTCTGATATACCCTTTATTGATAAATGTACATTATTTTGAATTATTTTTAGGTACTCTCTGATATACCCTTTATTGATAAATGTACATTATTTTGAATTATTTTTAGGTACTCTCTGATATACCCTTTATTGATAAATGTACATTATTTTGAATTATTTTTAGGTACTCTCTGATATACCCTTTATTGATAAATGTACATTATTTTGAATTATTTTTAGGTACTCTCTGATATACCCTTTATTGATAAATGTACATTATTTTGAATTATTTTTAGGTACTCTCTGATATACCCTTTATTGATAAATGTACATTATTTTGAATTATTTTTAGGTACTCTCTGATATACCCTTTATTGATAAATGTACATTATTTTGAATTATTTTTAGGTACTCTCTGATATACCCTTTATTGATAAATGTACATTATTTTGAATTATTTTTAGGTACTCTCTGATATACCCTTTATTGATAAATGTACATTATTTTGAATTATTTTTAGGTACTCTCTGATATACCCTTTATTGATAAATGGATGAGTTGTCAATCAGATTTGGACAGATTAATTTGGTTGGTTCAAAAACGATCACAGGTTAGAGTTTTTTTTCTTTCATAAAATTAAAAAATTTTTTATGTTAGAAATTATTATGCATATATAATATATATATGATGTGGCCAAATAGTTTTGCAAAATTTTGATTGTCGCAAGTTTTTATTGTTACAAATTTGATTGTCAAAAATTTTAAAAAGGAATAGTGTCGCAAATTGTGGCATTATTGATTGTTAAATAACAGAATAAGAAGTAATGTCGCAAATGAATTTAATGAATAGTGTCGAAAACAAAAAAAAAGGGATAGTGTCTCAAACGAATTTAATGAATAGTGTCAAAAATAGAAAAAATGAATAGTGTCGCAAATGAATTTAATAAGTAGTGTCAAAAACAAAAAAAAAGAATAGTGTCGCAAATGTTTTTATTGAATTTATTTTTTTATTTATTTAATAATAACTGTGTACATGTACAATGACAATGTACGGAGCCTAAGTAATCTAGGATTTAACAGCCATTTATGTTAAAAATAAGTTCAACGTTGATTTAAATTCTAGTTTTAGAATCTACAATGTTTTGATCTAAGTTATTCAATGTTTTGATCTTATTTGAAGTTATTTTGATTTAAGTTATTATTATATAAAACAAAAAATGTGCCAAAAACAAAAAGTAGAAAAAAGGAATGTTTTAAATGTTTAATGAATAGTAAAATAAATAAATAAAAAAATAACAACTATAAATGTGTGTTTAGATAACATGTCTGATATCATACTGAAATAGTCTGCTGCCGGGAACTTTAGTACATACACCAACTATCTTATAGCCTGCTGCTGCAAAGGAGTGCCGCTACATTGACTAAGGGTTTGGGGTTTTGGTCTGCAAAGTTAGGTTTTAAATTTGCAGTTTGGATTCGGATAGCAACCATAATGTAATAAAATGAATTATAAATAATGTAATAAATTGAATAGAGTAATATTGTTCATTTTAATAATTACTTTAAAATTTATCATTCAAAATAGTTAGCTTAATTAAATTGTTAAAACAGCTTTAAATAGAGATTTTTAAATTGTTTTTGTGTCTAGTTATATCTAGTCTTGCGATAAGAGATTCATGCAATTGTTTTTTAAACAAATTTAAATTTGGTTTAGCATGGCAAGAAACCAACCAAAACGGTTGTATAATTACCTTTTGGTAAATTATGTTTTATGTTTTTTTTTTTGAAACTTTACAACTCTAATACTTTTTCAAAAAAAACGCTTATAGAAAAAGCTTATAAAAAAAAAAAAAAAAAAAAAAAACTTTCCACTATTTAAATTTTTTTTTGATATTATATTTTACAAAATTCATTGTAAGTATGTCAAATTATACTTTTAAGAAAAAACCTAACCCTGGTCTTTCCCCCAAAAAAGGAGAATAAAGATATACTGAACACATGCTAGGATCAGAAATAAGACATGAATTAAGAAGTAAAATGGAAGTGAATTGGATTATCTGGAAATTGAGTCATAAAGTTGACGGATCAGGGTAAGTAAATGGGAATGGCAAATGTTTTGTGCCCTAAATCCTGCAAGGTCATTAGTACCAGGGCACAACTATTTAGAATGATTAGCATTAAAGTAATTAAAAATAGTAATGTATCTAAATGGATAAAAAGAAAGTCCTTAGTTTAAAGTGAACATTTCTTGTAATTCAGTATGACATTATCATTGATATATCATATGGAAGTAAGTTGCTTATGAGTTTAGTTTATAGTTGTATGTTCTTAAAGGTAATGATATTAACCATTATTAAAATGATGGGTCTGGATTATAGAACATTTTTATTGGCTATATATAATATACACACACACGCGCGCGCGCACAAACATATATAAATGTATATATATTCTATGGTCATGCTAAAAAAAATTATTTTATTAGTGTTACACTTCTACTGCACTAATCCATGTATTTTTTTTAAGAGTGGATGAGTAGGTTTGCTAAATTTTTTAGCTTAAAAATGCAAATGAAAGGTAATGAAATCCAATATATTGTTTTATTTTACTGCAATGTTTATTAATTAAGATTATATTATAACACCCTATTTTATTAATGTTAAAAATTGATTCTTAGGTTTTATTTTTAAGCGGTGATGTTCACTTTTCAGAAGTAAACTGTTACAATGCAACTAGTACAGGTAAATTTTAAATAAATTATCAAAAATTGACATAACTAAAATATAAAGCATTTTGTTTCTTGTTTAAATGGTTTATACCATTTAGGCTATCCATTATATGAGGTGACATCAAGTGGAATGACTCATTCTTGTTCTGCTTCTTTATTACCTACTGGTGTGTGTGATTGGACTTTAAAGTATGTGTTTGTTTTTTGTTGATAGGTTATCCTATCTATGAGTTCACATCCAGCGGTATGACTCATACATGCTCATTTCCTAGACCAGAATCGTTTTGCACTTGGACCTTGCAGTAAGTTGATTGACATGGAGGTTTAATAGTTTCTATAAAATTTAATTTTTTTTTTCGCATTTTAACACAGTAAATAACACTTCATTTTTGTGTAATTTTGTTTTCACTAATACTAATTATTTTTCAGCTAAACACTAATAAATATTTTTCATATTGTTATATTACAACTGGAATTGTATTTCAAGGCAAGCAACCAATTGCTTGCTAGGATTTTCCCCTTTTCCTTCCCTCAGCATAAAATGCACTACTTTCTTATATACCTATCACTTTGTTAACGATTCACTCATTCCTCATCACACCTAAATGCAATCAAGTTTTCTCCTTTTTTATTATTTTTTATTTTTTGTTTTTTTATTGACTTCATTAACTCTCAGTTGAAATAAATCTGGTCTGTCTTGGTTTATATACAGTATTAGTTGTTTTAAATTTCTTAAAACTAGTTTTAAACCATTCTATATGCTTTTGTTTTCAAAAAATTTAATTATTTTGATTATTATTTGTTATTATTGTTCACAGTTGTAGTAGTATGTAGATTGGTATATAAATAGTATATAAATAGAATGTTTTGATTAGCCAGTGATGTAATTAATATTTAGTAATAATGCTTTTAAAAGAAAAAGAACAAGTTTTACAAAAAAATTACTTCTTAATAAAATGTTGCTCTACAAAAAAAGGAAAAATGTCAGCCTGTAAAAAAGCCAAGTATAATATTGTACTCAAATATCTTTCTACAAAAATTTTCGAAAAAATATATATTTTTTCAATTTAGTATTACTTTTTTTAAATGATTAAGGTTATTATTTATACAAGTATAATCCTTTATAATTTTTAGTTAACTTAAAAGTTTTGACCGCTGACCGCGTGTAATTAGTAAATTAAAATTTATTATTAGAATGTTGCACGAAGTTACTTCTGTTGTTATAGGAATGTTGTTGCGTCTCGTTATCGAGTTTCAAATGTTGTTACTGATAAAAGTTTTGGAATGATACAAATAGATTGGAGCTCGTCGCCTGTAAGTATGATATTAAGATGGCTGATATGAATTCTTGTATACTTTTTACTTATATGAACTTTTCCAGGTGAAGTTTACTTTCACGTTAATTGGGGAAAATGGGGTAATCTCTCAAATGCTATTATCTTCGGATGACCTCATACGGGTAATATAATCAAAGTTTATTAGCAAATTTTATTTATTTATTTATTATATTTTTGTAAACATGCAGATTAGAAATTAGTTTTTTTTAATTATTTTCTTGAGCGTCGTCATCCTACTGCCTGTCCAGCTGCTCTAGAACAGCCAAATTATTATTGGAAGCGTGTGTTTTGGATAACAGTAGTGTTAATTGGGGTTTCAACTCTTTTAACTTTCTTAAGGCAAGTGACTTTCAAAATGTGCCCGTCTAAATATTAAAAAAAAAAACGTTTCAATTTTTAAAAAGTATTTATTTTAGGGTTCTATTTTTGCTTTGTCGTTGGATTATTCTTCGTTTATTAAAAGATCTCGATATGAAAATTAAAAGACGAATTAAAAAAATTCGCTTGCTACTTCCGAGCTCTGCATCCTGGAAAAGAAACAAAGTTCACGTAGAATAATATTTTATAGTATATATTATATAGTTTTAATATTTTTTAGAGGTACTTATATTTTTGTAGATTTTAGAATATTTTTTATTAATAAAATTGCTATATTTTAAATTGTGAAGATAAATTGATTGACTTAAAACAAAGTCTTTGTCGGAAATATATTTGTGTGTGTGCAGCCCGTTGACTATATATCTATTTACTTTAAAAACTACGGTAGTATTTTCAGGAATTAACCTCCCCCAAAAAAAACGACTCAATAAACTGACTACAAAAGTACTACCACCAAGCATGCATCATAAATGTCTTGCTGTAAAAATGTTTAAACTTGTAAAAGGTTCTAATAATAAAATCATCACGATCTTCTTACAGAAGTCTTGGTTATTTGTTTTTGTAAAATACCAATAATGTAAACAAGTAAAAAAAAAAAACACTTTCGTTCACATTTTCATATTAAAAAAAGAGCTGCGACTTTCTCGCTATTAACTCGCGTGTAATGGCTGCCGTGCATGGCCGTCTATGCTAATAGGCGTAAAACGGTAAATCGGAGCTTGGGGCTGGGGGCTAATAAAAAATAACAACAACTAAGAAAAAGTTAAGTGTAGCACGAACATTTGCTTGTAAAAAGGTGTTTCCATTTAGTGTGAGTGAACTATAGCTAATCTATTTATTTTACTTATTAATTAAAACTTATTTATTCATAACAAGCTTACTACAAAGATAACAAAACATTCCTGAGCTTTTTTGTCTATAACTTTGTCTATAAAAGCAAATCTTTCCTCAGCTATAATATGCAAAATCTTTCACAAAATCACACAATCAGAGGCCACAAGAAAATATAATATATAAAATGCTGAAGTTTCGAAAAAACCATAAATTGAACATATTAAGTAACAACAAAATTTTTAAAATATTTCAGATAAAGATAAGAACACTAATTTTTTTACCAAAATCACAAAGCAAACAGGAAATATTAGTAACTTAGAGTTGTCATAAGTAAAATACACACACAATAGATTTACTTCGAAAGCTTTAAGATCTTTTATTGTGACTCTTTAGATGACCTTGATGCATATAAATAACATAGTTTTTTTTTAAAAAAATGTTTTAAGTGAAATACCATGTTTCTTTTCCATATTAAAATTAAAAGATTCTGATATTAACATTAAAATATTGCAGAGTGACTTTCGGCAGACATTATTAACAACTTCATCAAACAAAATATAAGAAAATATGGTCCACTGACAAACATTATCATTTGGTATTTTCAACCCTAAACGGTTAATTTTAGCAGTATAATCACCGAATTCTTTATAATAAAATTTATCTTCTTCTTGCTTTTTAACTTCCTAAAATATATCAGCTATATATACTAATTTTGTTTTTGTATTTATTTTCACACTCTTTTTTAGCTCACGCAAATTGTCAAATATATCAATAGCATTACTGCTAAGAAATTATCTATTTTTCTGGCAGTTATGTCCATTTTCTACATATAAAAAATCAATATCTATACCGATATGGAGACTTAGTTTTGCTCGTTAAATTCTTACTTTTTCAATGACTTTTTGCACATTGATAAAATAACATTGATGTGCCTCCAGATCTTTGTCGGAGTTTTCCAAACATTTTTTTTAGTAAGTCAGTTGTAAATTTTCCCAGTAAACATACCTAAAAGAATTCTGCAACAAAAATTTTGTAAGGGCTATTAAACCGCGACAGCTATGAGCTAAGGCTGCACCTGTATCTCTCGTGAACTAAAATTGTCTGTTGCTCTTTTTGCTAGTCATTTGTTTTGCCATTGTTGCAAGACTATTTAAAAATGATAGTCTAGCATTATCTGAAGTTGATATAGAGCTAGAACAAACCTAAGATATTAGACCAAGATGCATGTTTAGTTTCCCCATTATATTCATAACACAACTTTTTTGGCTTTAGAATTAAGCTTACAAATAGAAAAAACTCTGCAAAGGTATTGCGGTCATATCAACATAGAGCAGTTATATCGACTTCAGATAATGCTAGACTATCATTTTTACTTAGTCTTGCAACAATGGCAAAACAAATGACTAACAAAAAAAGGCAGTAGACAATATCAGTTCACGAGAGATACAGGTGCAGCCTTAGCTCATAACTGTCGTGGTTTAGTAGCCCTTACAAAATTTTTGTTGCAAAATTCTTTTAGGTATGTTTAACACAGTAGTTGCTAAAGAGCCTAGTTTATTTACTGCTTTTACAAAGATTGAGCCAAGTTAAGTTGATCAATATTATATATGATATGATATTATATATACTTCATCTAGCACAAGAATTTAGATGGAACACCTTTACCAGATAAAGTGCTATATCTTCTAAAATTAGAAACTGCTATGTGAATTTTTTTTTGTATTTGTATTTAATTCTTTAATTTAAGACTACAAGTATGTATTGTAAGATGAATCGTGAACAAAATTGAATAATATATACTTTGATTTTTTAATATTGACTCTTTCTGTTAATTATGTAAATTGTTAACTATCTCAGATAGCAAGCTTACATTGGCTCAACGTTGGGCCACTGCATGTTGATACATTGGCCCAACGTTGAAATTTGATGTTGGCCTAATGCAGGTTTGATCATTGTTTAGGCATTGGCCCAACATTGTATACAACATTGGCCCAATATTAAGCGTAACATTGCTTAACATTGAGCCAAATGTATTGCGTAAGCCTTGCCTATTTTACTTCACAGTTTCTGCCAAAAAAATAGTTGTTTGTTTAATTATGCACCAAAGAAACATAAAAAATTGAAAGTAATTGTGTAATGCAAAATTGAAACTGAAAAAACAACTTTTCTAAAGCACTTACTAATAGCAACATATACAATCAACATTTTTTAATTTAAAAGCTGAGCCATTTTTAAAAACTAATTATTCTAAATAATATTTACGATCGCCTTCGTTTTTAACTCCAATTTGTCCCAAATAGTTAACTTGTAAAAATATACAGGTTAATAATGTAAAATATACTGGCAATAAATAAAGTTACTTTTGGTTAGACTTAATATAAAATCTCAATTACAAAAAAACCTTCAAAGAATATTTTATTTAAAATACATAATTTGTATAAAGATATCAAACGGAATGCATAAAAAGATCATAAAAAAACATTTAGCATATGCTTAAGTATTTTTTCGTCTTTTAATTTTTCTTTTAGATTACTTAAATTCTTTTCTGCTTTTAGCGGCAATGACAATCTGTTAGGGAAATCATTAATTGGCATGTCTTTGTTACTCTTTCTAATTAAAATAACATTAAACTTGATGTTTTTTGTACCTCACCAATTGCCAATCGTGCCATTAATACCTGCATATCTTTAAGGAATACAATTTTATCTCGAAAAAATAAAGTTAATAATATTCTTAAAAAACTATACAACAAATTACATATAACATTTAGAATTTATGAAAGTAAATACAACATTCACTAATAAAGCAAATAAAATTAAAGACATAGGGGCAAATCTTTAATGATAAAATATATACTTGCTAATGGATTCATAATATTTTTATGAATTATGGAATTTGTTGGTGCGCATTTAATTTCTGGCACTTACACAAAACAATTCTCGTTAACGTTTGAGATACAGACTTCACTGTAAAACAAACAAATTCATATTAAAACAATGTATCTCTAATGTTTGTAAATATTTTATTTAAAATATTTTTGATCTGCATATTAATAATAATACAACTTTTAAAAATAATATCATCTATAAAAATATTGTAATATCTTAGTCTATTAAATAAATCTTAATAAACATCTATATAGCATTTGAAATGTTATACAGTAATAAGTATTAAAAGGTATATTTATTTTTTTCTTAATTTATTCATAACAGTTTAATTTTTAGTTCATAAAGGTATTAATAATATCTGCATATTGCTTATGAAGAAGACCAGCGTGCTAAACTTTGTCGAAAACTTTAGATATGTCGAAAGCAATAGCCCTAGCTTCACCGCCTTCATTTAATACACAATAAAATCTTTCAGTTACAGCAGTTAGCAAGTCGGCTGTAGAGCAAGAGGATCGAAAACCGTATTGATTGTCTGACAGTAGCTTATTTGACTCAAGATGAGATGTGAGGAACTTGTTGATCAAAGACTCAAAGACCTTGCTAATAACAGAAAGAAGACTGATCGGACGATAATTGGAGGGATCAGAATTTTCTCCAAAGTTTTTGAATATTGGAACCACAGATGCCATTTTCCAACAAGCAGGATAACAAGACTCAGTCAAACCTTGTTAAGTCTTGTTAAATAGTTTAGAGAGAATCGAAGAAAGTTCTGAAGAACCCTAACCCTGACCCAAGACTGTGACAAGAATGTTGTCTGGACCACAAGCTGTAGACGAGTTTAATTGAGATATATCTTTAGCAACAGAAGCCGGAGTGATTTGAATGTCTAACAATGGGTCAACCTGTTTGACTGGAATGGATGGAAGAGAATGTCCATAAGATTCAAGAGTGGAATTAGAAGAAAAGTTCTTTGCAAATAGTTCTGCCTTATCCTTGGGAGAGGTAATAAGATCAGTCCCATGAATGAGAGATGGAATGTTAGATCTACCCTTGTTAATAATGCTGTTGAAGATTTTCCAAAAGTCTTTGGAGCCCAACTTCTGTGATAAGATGCGAGATTTAGTGAACTGAAAATAATGGAGTTTAGCATCAGAAAGCACCTTTTTACATTGATTTCTTGCAATAATAAATAGCCGTTTGTTCTCAAGAGAGTTGTTCTTTTGAAAAAGATGAAAAAAAATGATTACGATTAGATATAGCAGCCGCAGAAGAAGGAGAAAACCATGGAGTAGAATGAGGCTTGACTTGAAACCGACGAGAAGGAATAAAAGCTTCCATTCCAGCCTGAATCCAGGAGGTTACGTAGAAGGCGCATTTATCAGCTGAGAGAGAAAAAACATCAGCCCAAGGACCATCACAAAGAAAATCACGAAAGGAATCCCAGTCAGCTTTAGGGTAGTAGTAGGTGGTGCGATGATAAGGTGAGCCCAAAAAAGAAGTACGAGAAGAAAGATTTATAGAGATCATTGCATGGTCAGAACCACCTAAGGGAGAAAAGGAACATAAGCTAAGGTCAGAGACAAGACATAAGTCAAGGAGTGAAGGTAAATGATTAGGGTTGTCAGGAAAACGA